TTATGTGGTGCTGGGGAATCGAACCCAGGACCTCGAGCATGCAAGGCAAGCGCTCTACTACTGAGCCACCTTCCCAGCCCCTATCTGAACTTTTTTACTCAAAGCTAGCCTCTGCCACTCAAGCCACAGCTTTACTTCTAGCTTTTTAGTGGTTAGTTGGAGATAAGAATATCACGGACTTTCTTCTCTACACTGGCTTTGAACTGCAATCCTCAAATTTCAACCTTCTGAGTAGCTAGGATTATAGGAGTGAGCCACCAGCGCCCGGCAGTGATAAATACTTGTAGGTACTACATAGCTAAGGTCATGAAGTATTTGTTTTTCTGTACCTGGCCCATTTCTTTCTTTCTTTCTTTTTTGGGGGGGGGGATCCGGTCGTGGGGCCTGAACTCTGGGCCTGGGCGCTGTCCCTCAGCTCTTCAGCTCAAGGTTAGCACTCTACCACTTGAGCCACAGAGCCACTTCCGGCTTTTTTCTTTTTGCTTATGTGGTGCTGAGGAATTGAACCCAGGGCCTCAGGCATGCAGGGCAAGAAGTCTACCACTGAGCCACCTTCCCAGCCCCTGGCCCATTTCTCTTAGAATAATGTCCTCCAGGTTCATTTGTGGTGCTCAGAGAGGTATTTGATTTGTCATATGTTCTTTTAAACAGAAGTTGTAGCCCTAGATCTGGAAAACATATTATTTAATCTGTTAAAAGAACAGAGTGAGGGCCTGGGAAGGTGGCTCAGTGGTAGAGTGCTTGGCTTGCATGCATGAGGCCCTCAATATCATGAACAGAAAAAGCCAGAAGTGGCGCTGAGGCTCAAGTGGTAGAGTGCTAGCCTTGAGCTGAAGAGCTCAGGGACAACGCCCAGACCCAGAGTTCAAGCCCCATGACCAACAAAACAAAACAAACAAATAAACAAAATAAAGTGAGCCAGGTGCCTGTGGCTCATTCCTATAATCCGAGCTACTCAGGAGGCTTAGATTTGAGGATTACAGTTTGAAGCCAGCCGGGACAAGAAAGCTGGTGAGACTCGTATTTCTAATTAGCTTAAAAAAAAAAAAAAGCCAAAAGCTGTGCTGTGGCTCAAGTGCGAGTGGTAGCCATGAGCACAAAAACTCAGGGACAGTACCTAGGCCCTAAATTCAAGCTCCACAACCAGCATGGAGAGTAGATGCCACCTTGATTCTTTTTTTTTAGCTTCTTGTCAAACATGGGCCTTGAACGAAGGCCTGGACTCTGTCCCTGAGCCTTTATGCTCATGGTTAGCACTCTACCACTTTAAGCCATAGTACCACATCTGGTGTATGTGTATGTGTGTGTGTGTGTGTGTGTGTGTGTGAAGAATCTCATGTCGTGTGTGTGTGTGTGAAGAATCTCATGTCGTGTGTGTGTGTGTGTGTGTGTGTGTGTGTGTGTGTAATTGAAGAGTCTCGTGTGTGTGTGTGTGGGGGGTAATTGAAGAATCTCATGTCTGGGCTGGCTTTGAACTGTGATCCTCATATCTTAGCCTCCTCAGTAGCTAGGATTATAGGTGTGAACCACTGGTGCCCAGCTTGATTCTTAAATATTCAAGAATCAGAATCAGTGCAAATAGCAAGATTTTTTTGGCCTAAAAGGTAAATAGGTTTTTTTGTTCTTGAATCATAGCCATACCCATATATATATGTGTATATATCCTATTATTACTGATAATATTACTGATCATGCTATGTTTATGGACTAATTTGAATATTGAGTATGCTAGATAAGCATCCATCGATTCAAAATGGAGCAGGGAACAATGAAAAAATATTACATTTGTATTATGTATTTGTTGTACTTTTATTACAAAGTTGTCCTTTGAATGTGTTTATCAGTTTGAAATTTCCTTGTTTCAGATTTAGTGGAGTTTAACTTGGGTAGTCCCAAGAATGTGGGTCCCTTCCTTGCAGTGGACCAGAAGCACAACATCTTACTCAAATACCGCTGCCATGGTCCACCTATCCGGTTTACCACTGTCTTCAGCAACGAGCTCCACTATGTGGCAAATGAGCTGAATGGGCTAGTGGGCGGGAGGAACACGGTGGTTGCCATCTCCATATGGTCTCACTTTAGCACCTTCCCCTTGGAAGTATACATTCGAAGGCTCAGAAACATCCGGCGAGCGGTGGTCCAGCTCTTGGATCGAAGCCCTAGGACTGTGGTGGTTATCCGAACAGCTAATGCCCAAGAACTGGGGCCCGAGGTGAGCCTTTTCAACAGTGACTGGTACAACTTTCAGCTGGACACTGTGCTTCGGAGGATGTTCTCAGGGGTTGGAGTGTATCTTGTTGATGCCTGGGAGATGACTCTAGCCCATTATCTACCCCACAAGCTGCACCCAGATGAAGTCATTGTGAAGAACCAGCTGGACATGTTCTTATCTTTTGTGTGCCCTTTGGAGACTTAGCCTGCTCTCAGGAGGACTAAAGGAATCTCTCCAGTGAACTTCCCAATAGGCCTGCATTGTAGAAGGTTTGCAGGTGGCCCATTGTGAGATAGCTGCTATAAATAAATATGTACAAAATTTTAAAAAGAGTATACTTTATCTACTGACTTGTATCGAACTCAGAAAATGCAGGCTACATTTATATCTACCTGTAGGATTCCCCCCCCACACCCAATCTTAGCCATGGTAGAACTCTTTATTAACAACATCTATACACTGAATTGCCCTTGCAACCAAAGATGCTAATGAGTGTATTGAACTGGTTAGGATTGAATGAGCTTCTCCGGTGAGTAGAGCATGTAAGAAGTGTTCTGATGTAAGTGGAGGGGCAAACTTGTTCAGCAGTAGATGTGTGTAACTCACCTGTAAAGGAAATAGAACACATCTTCATGAATAGCTCAAGTAGTCTGTCTTGGGGAATGAAGTCCTGTGGACACTGAAGACTGCTGTGTTTCTGGAGTTTCTCTTGATTCACCTTTTCTGAATTACTTGAAAAAGCCAATGTGCTTGATTAGAATTTTATAGTGAGGATATTAATATTTTCTGCTTTATGTAGGACAGAAGCAAAAGGGAAACATGAAGTTAGTATGTGTAAAATCTGTGTGTGGATTGATCTTTGCATTGGATGATAATTAGGATCCCTCCCTCCCTTCCTTCCTTCCTTCCTTCCTTCCTCTCTCCCTCCCCCCTCTCTCTTTTTCTTTCTCTCCATCCATTTTCCTTCCTTCCTTTCCTTTCCTTTCTTTCCTTTATTCCTTGTGTCAGTCATGGGGCTTGAAATCTGGGCCTGGGTGCTCTTCAGCTCCTCAGCTCTTCAGCTCAAGGCTAGCACTCTACCGCAGCGCCCCTTCAGGTTTTCCAAGTGGTTTATTGGAGATAAGAGTCTCTCACACTTTCCTGCCTGGGCTGGCTTTGAACCACTATCCTGAGATCTCAGCCTCCTGAGTAGCTAGAATTATAGGTGTGAGCCACTGGCGCCCAGCTTCTTTTCTAGAACTCCTCTTTTCCCTTTTCCCTTTCCTTTCCTTTCCTTTCCTTTCTTTTCTTTTCCTTTCCTTTCCGTGTGCCAATAGTGGGGCTTGAACTCAGGGCCTTGTGATTTTGCTTAGCTTTTCCGTTCAGGGCTGGAGTTCTTCCACTTGAGCCCCACCATCACTTGCAGATGATTCTGTTGTTATTATTCTTAAATTATAAGTAGTTGTATAAAGCAATTTCAAATCAAGAAATTAGATTATGAGTACAATGCATCCTGACAGATGACTGTTTCTTATCTGCTGAATTTTATATGATGCTTATAGAATAACCACTTTTGGAAATGAAAAGGGAAAAATCTATAAATAAGTTTATTTTTATGTTCTAAAGTTTGAGGGTTTTAAGAATTGACTTTGATGTAAAGAATGCTTTTGATTATTACAAAGTTGCAGAAACTTTTCCTGTCAATCACAATTATTTGTTCTTTTTGGTTATTTTGAACTATATAAGCCTAACAAATTAATAAAGTTATGTATTGAAACTTATGACAAGTAATTCTTTCATTTTTGTGTATGTGTGCTGGTCCTGGGGCTTGAACTTTGGCCTTGGTGGCATCCCTGAACTTTTGTGTTCAAAGTTGTAGTGTTATACCATGTGAGCCACAGCTCCATTTATGGCTTTTTGGTGGCTATTTGGAGATAAGAGTTTCATGGACTTTCCTTCCTGGGCTGGTCTTTGTTTTTGTCAGTCATGGGACTTGAACTGAGGGTCTGGGCTTCTTTCACTGAGCTCTTTTTGTTCAAAGCTGGCTCTCTACCACTTTGAGCCACAGTGCTACTTCCAATTTTCAGGTGGTTGTTGGAGATAAGAGTCTGCCCAGGCTGGCTTTGAACAACTATCCTCAAAGCTCAGCCTCCTGCGTAGCTATGATTACAGACATGAGTCATCAGCTCCTGGCTTCCTGGGCTGGCTTTGAGCTGTGATCCTTGGATTTCAGCCTCTTGAATTGCTAGGATTACAGGCATGAGCCACTGGAACCTGGCCATAACAGTTACTTCTTGATTTGGGCAAAATGTATACAAATTTTCTCACTCTTGGAAGGGTTAAGCCACTATTCCTATTGGCTATCTTTTTTTTTTTTTTTGTGGCACTAAGGATCAAACTCAGGACCATGTGCATGCTTGGTGAATGCTCTACCAATTGAGCTACAGTGTCAGTTTGTGTGTGTGTGTGGTGGTGGGGGGGGACCTTAAACTCGGCCTGTGTGCTGTCCCTGAGCCCTTCAGCTCAAGGCAAGCACTCTACCACTTGAGCCACAGTGCCACTTCCATTTTTCTGGTGGTTTATTGGAGATGAGTCTCATGGCCTTCCTGCTGGGCTGGCTTTGAACCTCCATCCTCAGTTCTTAGCCTCCTGAGTAGCTAGGATTACAGGCATAAGCCACCAGCGCCTGGCTACCAGTGGAAAATTTTATATTTGACTTCAATCGATGGTCACAATCAAAATGTAAATGTATTAAAAATATTATATAAAATGACTCCTCAGGTATGGTGGCTCCTGTCTGTAATCCCAGCCCAGGAGGCAGATGTAGGGAGATAGGGAGGATAAATGTTCAAGGCCAGCCTAGACACTCAGTAAACCAGTGTGGTGGCATGTGCCTGTGATCCTAGCTATGGTAGGAGGATCATAGAAGAATCACATTCTGAGGCCAGGCCTGGGTAAAAAGTGAGACCTTACAAAAAAACGATAGCTGAAAAGTATAACAGATCTGGAGATATAGCTTAAGTGCTAAGAGTGTTTGCCAACTGTCGCTACCGCCTCGACCACCAAGGAAGACGCGACACCGAACTCTTCTCCCAGCAGTTTATTCAGGACCTTTGAGCAATCTTCTGACCCCAACCCCGGGGAGAATTCCCCACAGCCTTAAGTACCCGATGGGTAGCCAACCCTGATACGCCATGTGGGAACCACCAATAGGTTCAGGTGCGCGGAAGCAAGCCAGATTCTTTGCCTTAGCCATATAAGGAGTTGTTTACCACAGAGAGCACTCGCGGAGGGCGGAAGCCGGCGCCATCTTCCAGGTGCGGCCTCTCGCAGCTCTCTACAGCCAACAAGTGCAAGGTCCTCAGCTCAAAGTTCAAACAAAAACAAAACAAAACAAAAAGCTTCAGGCTGTATAAAGTATCTATGAAACAAATTTTGAATTTAGGCTTGGATCACAACATTAAGATAACTCATTTTGTGCATGTGCGCGCACACACATGCACACAAATACACACTCCCAATCTGAAACATTTCTGACCCCAACTATCTCAGATAAAAGGGTATTTAACCTGAACAATAATTTACATTATTAATTTTTTTTTGTCGGTCCTGGGACTTGAACTCTGGGCCTGAGTGCTATCCCTCAACTCTTCAGCTCAAGGCTAGCACGCTACCACTTGAGCTATAGTACCACTTCTCGTCTTCTGGTGGTTTATTGGAGATAAGAGTTTCACAGACTTTCCTGCCCAGGCTGGCTTTGAACCATGATCCTCAGATCTCGGCCTCCTGAGTAGCAAGGATTATAGGCGTGAGCCACTGGCGCCCAGCCATTCTTAAAATTCTTATTGTTATTATAAAGGTTGCATACAGGAGGGCTACAGTCACATAAGTCAGGTAAGAGTACATATTTGGACAATGTCACCTCCTCCCTCACTCTCTCCCAGTCCCCCCCCCACCCCCCTCGTTCCCACCTGCAAGTTGTATAGTTCATGTTCAACATAGTGTCTGGTACTCACTACTGCATTTGTTTACCTTTTGTTCCTCCATTTCTGTGCCCTCCCCATCCTCCCAAAGACAGATAAATGAATAAACAAGACAAAAAGTAAACAAAAACAGCAATGAAAAAAAGTTCTTTTTTCCATTTCCTGTAGTTAATAAATTACATTTTTTTTTTTTTTTTTGCCAGTCTGGGGCATGAACTCAGGGTCTGGGCACTGTCTCTGAGCTTCTTTTGCCCAAAGCTAACACTCTACCACTTGAGCCATAGCACCACTTCCAACTTTTCCTGTTTATATAGTACTGAGTAATTGAATCCAGACTTCATGCATGCTAGGTAAGCACTCTACCACTAAGCCACATTCCCAGACATAATAATTTACATTCTTATGAAAATGTTTATATTAGGCTACAGGCGTATAGTTGTGATTATTGGCATATCAGCCAATGTATAGTTTATTTTCAATATATAATGCCCATTATGAATATGAGGTCACCATAATCCGGGTGCTGGTGGCTCACACCTGTACTCCTAACTACTCAGGAGGCTGAGATCAGGTTCAAAGCTAGCGGGGCAGCAAAGTCTGGAAGTGGCACTGTGGCTCAAGTGGTAGAGTGCTCACCTTGAGTTGAAGAGCTCAGGGACAGTGTCTAGGCCCAGAGTTCAATCTCAAAACGAACAAACAAAAAAAGGCATCATAATTTTTAGAAACTACAAAATTTAGAAGAAAAACTCAGTGGCCAAAATCCACAATTCTGTCATCTGAGTATGATGAACATTAACGTTTTGATTTTTTTTTTTGCAGATTTTTCACTATATGCAGTTGTCCCTCAGTATCTTGTGAGTTCCATATTAGTGGGTCAGGCAGAGTTCATATAAAACCATTTGGGGGTAAATCAGCCTCTATACTGGACATTTACATTCTTTTTTTTGGTCATTATTTCCTGTATACTACAGTGTAATACCTATTCACATGACATTATCATTGAATTAGGTATTCTGAGTAATGTAGATATAATTTAAAGTACACAGGAGGATATACAGAGGTCATGAACAAATACTACACCATTTTATGTAAGGAGGTAAGCATTTGTACAGCATTGCTATCCCCAGTGGGTCCTAGAACCAAAATTCTGAAATAGTTTTCTATGTTAAATAGTTTTAATAATATAATTATAAAGCTCTACCTAATTTGCTAATGATGTAATTATTACATAAATGGGCTGTTATGGCTGGATGTTTAAGCTTTTTTTCTTTGTTCTCTGAATATTTTTAAATTAATTAATTTTTTAAAAGTCACAAATACCTTTTAATCTTCACAATGATAGTTATCATCTTAATCTACATTGCTTATGGACTTTATGATCTTTAACAATAAAACTATGTTTTTAGAAATCAGGTAATATGTACATTTCTTTCCTTTTGCTTAGTATCAGCTGCTCCTTACAGTTATATAAATCAGGTAATTAGTACATTTCTTCTTGGACAATGTTCCGCCTTCCTTTGCTGATCTCTCTCAGTTTTTCCCTCCTGTCCCCACCTACAAGATTAGCTTTTTTTGTTGTTTTTTAAAAGTGATTTTAGCAGGGAGGAGTGAGGAACAAGAGAGGATAATGGGAGGGGGAGGTGCATATGATCATTTGTGTACATGAAAAATATAGTGAAACTCAATTTGTACAACTCATATATGCTAATAAAATATGAAACTAAGGGCATTGTGGGTATAATTTCCTTTTTAATATTTTGTGTTAAGTGAGAGAAATTAGCTCTTGAGTTTGAAGGACTTGACCTTTAGCTCTAGAAGCCCATATTCCTGTTCTCCAAGGGGAAGACAGGAGGCATTTCCTGTCGAATTACAAAACTATTTTAACACTGGTTGGAGGATAACTTCAAAACAAGCAAGAAAAAAAAAGGAAGCCTTACAGAGATTACAGTAGC